CTTTAATGCCATTAATGACAGACACCTTGCCCTGCTGATTAGGAGTGAGGACCACAGGTAACATAAGGGAGAGAGAGACCCAGGAATTCCCCCAGCCAAGGAGAGGCAGTCTGTCCTCCCAGCAGCCCACCAGCATCGCCTGCTTTCAGTGCTACTAGTGGAGTAGTCAATTTGGCATCACAAACCATCTGCAGCCTGACACAGAATATGCCCCCACTCCAACCTGGTAGGGGACAACAGGAGTCGTGCCGCTCCTCTAGCTGCCTAGCAGTATCTGGCCACCACGGTCCCCCAGCGGGAAACTGGCACTGGCCACCCGCAAAAACAACTTGTAGGAGCATGTGACCGCAAGCAATATGGTGGATGCCGTAACTTGCACAGAACGTATCCCCCTCAGCCCCTACCTACAGAAGGGGTGCCAGACAAAGGTGAGCCCTATACTGGCATTCCCACAAACAAAATGGTGGGTGGGACATCCTCTAACAGTAGACCCCAAAGCCATGGCCTAAAGTGCCAGCTATTACGGCTGCATGGCTTGTGCACATGAAGGTAAGAGAGGGAGGCCCTTGCATGAAGCTGAGCTCCTGTAAACATGGAAGATCCCACCTGTGTGAGCACCGTGGCCAGCATCATGTGTATGGTCCTCTGCTGCAAGCCATCAAATACAGGCCATCCCCAGGTGCCAGGAAACCAGCCCACACCGTCTTTCACTCCACAGCTGCCAGGCACAGGACATAAAATGGGAAAGGCATCTGCACTACCAGACCCTATGGGCAGAAACCAGGGGGCCACCCGCCCAGCTGTCAGTAGCTGCAGGAACAGCTGAATCACCTGCACAGATGAGCCCCGCATCCCTGAGGGGGGGGGGGGTAATAGTGGGAAAGGAAGGGAATAAAAGATCTAGCCACCCAAGGCTGTAGGTTTGGAGGGGACCTCGCAGGACCGACCACCCCAAGAAGTACCCCGCCCACAACCGCATCCAGAGATGGAAGGGAGGGGATGACCACTTACCAATCCAGTGGGGCGTGCAGGTAAGACTCCCATGACAGATCCTCCTCTCCACCGAAGTGTGGGGCTGTCGGCTAGGGTGACACTGTGACAAAGACTCTAGGCGCCTGGTCATATATGTGCCACGAGATGTTTAACTCTCTGGTTGCCTCTGTCCAGTATGGGGCATAGTTACAGCTGACCGAGCATGGAGCTAGCATTGACCAGACTGGGGTGACCACTGGATCTAGAATATCCAGCCCGTCACCCAGTCTGACTTGATAGAAAATCTCTGCAGGAAAAGTAAAAATTCTAGGAAAAATTTAAAGGAAAAAGGAAGTCATGGGACCACAAGTCCCATGTAAAGTCACGTCCATACTCCTGAAGACACTAGGCAAAATGACTGGAGGCTATAACAGAGAGGGGGTTTTATGCCAAGAGAGGAGGTGCCGAGTCTTTTTTTCTGTCTAGTGTCCTACTCTTATAGGTGGGGCTATAAAACCCTGTTTGGTCATTGATAAAGAAAAAGCAGCTGTGTCCAATAATGAACGTAAGAGAAAATGCCTTTACATATACCTTAAATGGTATCTAAAACCTTAAAAGAGAAGTATGGCCAAAGCTTTTTAGTCATACCTCTCCACTGGGTCACAGGAGTGCACTTACTTTGGTACGAATAAACCAAAATCAGCTGACAGCTGGCTAGTCATAGAGCCACATCACACTCTGGAAGGATCCCGATCATATTTTCAAGATCCACCCATCTAGCTTTGAGCCTCTGCCATGTTCTAGTTGTACAACAGCATTCAGAATGGAGGGGCAAAAACTCTATTATGCTGCTGCACTGGAAGCCACAGACCTGCCAGGGCTGGCTGGATAACAAAACTGGCTGATGAGAATTACAAATCCATATGAGTGCATTTAGCCATTGCCTTGAGATTAGTTTAAAGAACAAACAATGCTGGAATTCTGGCACGGTTGTTGCTGCCTAGACTGCCCAATATATTTATTTATTTTTAGATAAACTAGTGAAAGGAAGAGATGGGACAATAGTGTGAGCACAACCTAAAACACTAAAAGTATTCTTTATTTAGCTTTTTTTTTTTAATACATATTGATGCCCTCTTGTAAATTTTGTTCACCCAAGATTCAGACATTTTTCGATTTTGATTCAAGTGGAAAAATGGGTTGTGTGAATCTCAGATGAAAACCTTTATAAACAGACCCTTGCATGTTATGTTTTATGTGTTTATTATCAGTGAATTATCAGTCCTATATAAAGAATGGTCCTATTACAGCTGTCATACAGCCAATGCCTTTTTCTTTGATATATTATGTCAAGAGCTGCAGTGTCGGGTCCTCTCCAGAATGACATGTCATTATCCTACAAATAATAGCCTATTTCTATGGCAACATGCTTATGAAGATCCAAAAGACGATAAATGGCAAAAAACATAATTACAGGAAGCCACTTCTGCTGTAATTTCTCTAGTAAAGTAACTGGAACGTCGCTTGCAGCGTTCCCGGAACATGACTAACAAGCCTCTTTGGAGCGGCCTTTTAAACTGCAGCAAGAGGCTGAAGGGCAGCTGATGTTCAATGCAGCTGATTTCATAGGCACTAAATGTACTGAATGAGTAATTTCTAGAACGGAGCTAAATATACATGGCCAATCACCAATAATTAGCTCCAATATGTTTAAATGACTGAAAAACAACCACAGCGGTCAGAAAAGGCTGGTGGAAGTCTCTGTTCTTCTTTATACTGGGAGTTATAACCACAAACTCCTGAAGCGCTGGAGGTAGGTTAGAACGTAAAGCTACACTTTTCATTGGCTCCATATAATCTCAGTACGAATTCGGCCCTATAAGCCCTGAGGACCTTTGGCAATTTCTGTGCGGAGCTCTGGGCCCCTGCAGACGCTAATCTGTGTTTCCCTATTGCTCTGTTATAGCAGTGTTCTAGTAGTCTCATGGAATAGGTTCCCAGTCTCCAACAACTCCTAAAGCATGCTCAGAGTCTTATATCATATGCTGCAGCATGCCCCAGTTCTGACCATCTCTTGTATCATGTCTGCAGTCTCTGACCATCTCTTGTATCATGTCTGCAGTCTCTGACCATCTCTTGTATCATGTCTGCAGTCTCTGACCATCTCTTGTATCATGTCTGCAGTCTCTGACCATCTCTTGTATCATGTCTGCAGTCTCCGCCAGTCCCCGACCATCTCCTGTACCAGTCCACTGTCTCCCCGACCATCTCCTGTACTATGTCCGCCAGTCCCCCGCCAGACCATCTCCTGTATTATGTCTACCAGTCCCCGACCATCTCCTGTATTATGTCCGCCAGTCCCCGACCATCTCCTGTATTATGTCCGCCCCATGTCCCCGACCTATCTCCTTGTATTTATGTCATCCGTTTTATGTCCCTGTCAGACCATCCCCGACCATCTCCCTGTATTATGTCCGCCAGTCCCCGACCATCTCCTGTATTATGTCCGCCAGTCCCCGACCTCCTGACCATCTCCTGTATTATGTCCGCCAGTCCCCGATGTCTATCTCCTGTATTATGTCAGCCAGTCCCCGACCAGACCATCTCCTGTATTATGTCCCCCAGTCCCCCCCGACCATCTCCCGTTTTATGTCCGCCAGACCATCTCCTGTATTATGTCCACTGGTCCCCAACCATCTCCCGTTTTATGTCTGTCAGACCATCTCCCGTATTATGTCCGCCAGTCCCCAACCATCTCCTGTTTTATGTCCGCCAGTCCCAGTCCCCGACCATCTCCTGTTTTATGTCCGCCAGTCCCCGACCATCTCCTGTATTATGTCCGCCAGTACCCGACCATCTGCTGTATTATGTCCGCCAGTCCCCGACCATCTCCTGTATTATGTCCGCCAGTCCCCGACCATCTCCTGTATTATGTCCGCCAGTACCCGACCATCTCCTGTATTATGTCCGCCAGTCCCCGACCATCTCCTGTATTATGTCCGCCAGTCCCCGACCATCTCCTGTATTAGGTCTGCAGTCTCTGACAATCTCCTGTATTATGTCCGCCAGTCCCCAACCATCTCCTGTATTATGTCCGCCAGTAACCCGACCATCTCCTGTAATATGTCCGCCAGTCCCCGACCATCTCCTGTATTATGTCTACCAGTCCCCGACCATCTCCTGTATTATGTCCACCAGTCCCCGACCATCTCCTGTATTAGGTCTGCAGTCTCTGACCATCTCCTGTATTGTGTTTGCAGTCTCTGACCATCACCTGCATTATATCCGCAGTCACTGACCTTCTCTTTCTCTTGTATCATGCCCTTAGTTTTTGACTATATCCAATTTTGTGGGTCTACTATCTCTGATACTGAATATTTACTGAATTTTGTGAGCAGCCCTTTGGTAATGTCAAGAGCCGCACTTGAGGCCTTGTATGTTAAGAAAGTTGACCACCACTGCTCTAAACTCTAGGCTAAGTACCTAGCTTAAAGTGACCCTGTTGCATTGTTAGAGTTGAGCAGTAGCCAACTCTAACAAGGAATAAAAAAAAACCTGTCATAACAAACACTGAGGCTGCCTCCAGGACTCTCCCTTTAAAGTGAACCTGTGCACTGTCCATACAGGTAAAACCATCATTTTCACCTTAACAGCCCTCTCCTCCACAGTGTATACTTGCCTTCCTTTCACTTCCCTTTTTATCCAATCAGCTGTTGAAACCATGAAAAGGAGAGAAACTGATGAAATATACAATGCACAAGAAAGGGGCTGTAAAAGTGAGCTGGGGCAATAATACTGCTATGAAGGAACTTCTACCACCTAGCAGCTGAGGGACTATCATCTCCAACTCCCATTGCTTATGTATATAGAACAGAAGAAAGCACGTCTGTCTCCTTACTTAAAACAACTTCCATTTTGGAGAACTGCACTACAGAAATGTTAGAAGAAATGTGGAATCATTGCCTCCACTCTTAGGGAACAGTCCTGTAACTTTGGTTTGAATTGAAAACAGGATGTGCACATCATACCATCATTATTTGTGTCCATCTGCTTAAAGATTTTGTCTGTTCTCTTCTCTGGTGTAGATTCGTCTTCTGGCATTTTCATCACAGATGACACCATCTTGTATATTGCCTGAAACAAAATATTTGGAGGAAATTAAAAAGATTGCTCCATTTTTAAATTGCTACAAAAAGGAAATTCTTGATTGAATGTATTTGATGCTCAGAGGTTTGCAAAAAGGATTTGGGTATAGATTTTCCCCTTATAGTACAGCCTTACTTTTAATGTGAAGCACTTTCTGAAATATACTTTTCCTTTATCAGATTTTTTTTTTTTTTAGAACACGATACTTACCTGTTCCATGTAATGGTTTTGCACAGAGCAGCCCTGATTTTCCTCTTCTCAGGTTCCCTGCCAGCACTCCTGGCCCCTCCCCCCTGCCAAGTGCCCCCACAGCAAACAGTTTGCTACCGGGGAACCTGAGAAGGCTCGCTCCAGAGTCGCTGCTGTGTGTGTCCATTCACACACAGATGTGGCTCGGTTCTGCCCTCCACTCATTGGCTCACGGGCTGTGATTGACAGTAGGGGGAGTCACTGGCTTCTGCTGCTGTCTCAGTTAATGAGGAAGGAGAGACCCAGGACAGCCAAGGCTCTTGTGTACATCACTGGATCGAGAGGGGGCTCAGGTAGGTATTAGGGGACTGCTGCACGCAGGTTTTTTACCTTTATGCATAGAATGCATGAAGGTAAAAAAACCTTGAGCCTTTACAACAACTTTAAAGTGTAACTGTGGCCAAACCAGCAAATTCAAACATTTAAATAGTAAATGAGCTGTAAAACAAGCCCTTAATGACCTCTTAACTACAGGCACTGTGGAGGCATTCATCCTCACAATTTTCAGCAGAAGCTCTGAAGTCTTAATCTCTCTACAGCTCAGTGTAGCACATACAACTGAAAGGTGCAAACAGTAACATCCTCTTTCCATTCCCACTGTGCCCAGAGTGTGCTTCTTTGGTCAGCAAGACATTTGTAATAAAGGCACTGAACACTTTCATATGTTTTTGTTTTACCCATCAGGTCCAAACTGAGAGTGAGCTTTCTGTGTTTGAGAGTGCTGTGCCTGCTTGTGTCTGGGTCACATCTAATGATTCTTTCGCCTGTACCAGCACTAGAATGAGAGACCCAGGCATTATGGGATATATTGTTCCCTCATATGTAATGTTAGTACTTAGACTACAGAGGTCATGCATTAACCTGTGCAGTGACATTTGGTATGACACATGTTTGAACGCCAACAGAAACTGCTGACAAATGAATCTGAATATTTATTATAGATAGCATGTTTAGGGAAAAATTGACATCATGAAATTACATGGGTAATGAACAACTTATGCAGGGGAAAAAACACAAGGTGCAAGTAGGAATATTTATAATGCCTTTAACCACTTTACGCCAACCGCATGCATTTATGAGGTCTCTTTGTGGGTGGGACTGAACACTGAACGGCTACATATAGTCAGCCCTGTATAAACAACTTACCGTGCTGCGAGCATGCTTCCTGCATGGTAGCCGGCGGGGATTGGTGATCTCCTGATGTATACTTGCCATTGGGAGCTTTCCGATCATGTGACCGCTGTGACAGTCAATCACAGCTGTCACATGAACTGAATGCCTGCCTCCGCCACCCGGCATCTAGAAGCTCTTAAAGGGTCAGGAGGCATCGGCGGGAAGGCGTTAAGCACAGAGCTTGCAGGTGGTTCTAAGCCAAGGCCTTGCCTCCTGTAATTCTAACCACGGCCCACCTGCAAGCTCCTTGCTTGAAAAAGCCCTTAGCTGACCAATAAAACATTTTCAGTGCACTACAGATGACAACAATTAGGTCCTAAGCCAAGGTTTCCACAGCAAAGTGAGCAATCTCAGATGGACCACAGAAGAGGCTTATGGTACAGAAATGCACTAGGAGGTTACTTGTGCTGCCCATACCTGGACAGAATTTTAACTTTTAGAAATTAAATAATTGGAGGGCAGGTTTAATTTAAGCTATGTACATTATTGCCTAACTTAGTTTTTGCGAAGATGCAGCTGTTGTGTATATTTGGAGGTGTCCTATATTAGATTGGCCATATTTAGGCAGACGTATTCCTGAGAACTGCTCCTATTGTGTTACTAGATCACCAGCATCCATAGACATGGTAAGCCCAAGTGTGAGTATCATATACAGTGGGGATCAAAAGTTTGGGCACCCCAGCTAAAAATTTGTTTTAATGTGCATAAAGAAGCCAAGGAAAGATGGAAAAATCTCCAAAAGGCATCAAATTACAGATTAGACATTCTTATAATATGTCAACAAAAGTTAGATTTTATTTCCATCATTTACACTTTCAAAATAACAGAAAACAAAAAAATGGTGTCTGCAAAAGTTTGGGCACCCTGCAGAATTTATAGCATGCACTGCCCCCTTTGCAAAGCTGAGACATGCCAGTGTCATGGATTGTTCTCAATCATCGTCTGGGAAGACCAGGTGATGTCAATCTCAAAGGTTTTAAATGCCCAGACTCATCTGACCTTGCCCCAACAATCAGCACCATGGGTTCTTCTAAGCAGTTGTCTAGAAAACTGAAAATAGTTGACGCTCACAAAGCTGGAGAAGGCTATAAGAAGATAGCAAAGCATTTACAGATGTCAATATCCTCTGTTCGGAATGTAATTAAGAAATGGCAGTCATCAGGAACAGTGGAAGTTAAAGCAAGATCTGGAAGACCAAGAAAAATATCAGACAGAACAGCTCGCAGGATTGTGAGAAAAACAATTCAAAACCCACGTTTGACTGCACGATCCCTCCAGAAAGATCTGGCAGACACTGGAGTTGTGGTACACTATTCCACTATAAAGAGATACTTGTACAAATATGGTCTTCATGGAAGAGTCATCAGAAGAAAATTTCTTCTACGTCCTCACCACAAAAATCATCGTTTGAACTTGCAAATGAACATATAGACAAGCCTGATGCATTTTGGAAACAAGTTCTGTGGACCGATGAGGTTAAAATTGAACTTGTTGGCCGGAATGAGCAAAGGTACGTTTGGAGAAGAAGGGGCACAGAATTTAATGAAAAGAACCTCTGTCCAACTGTTAAGCATGGGGTTGGATCAATCATGCTTTGGGGTTGTGTTGCAGCCAGTGGCACAGGGAACGTCTCACGAGTAGAAGGAAAAATGGATTCAATAAAATTTCAGCAAATTTTGGATGGTAACTTGATGCCATCTGTGAAAAAGCTGAAGTTAAAGAGAGGATGGCTTCTACAAATGGATATTGATCCTAAACACACCTCGAAATCCATGGGGGATTACATCAAGAGGCGTAAACTGAAGGTTTTGCCATGGCCTTCACAATCTCCTGACCTCAACATAATTGAAAATCTATGTATAGACCTTAAAAGAGCAGTGCGTGACAGACAGCCCAGAAATCTCAAAGAACTGGAAGACTTTTGTAAGGAAGAATGGGCAAAGATACCTCAAACAAGAATTGAAAGACTCTTGGCTGGCTACAAAAAGCGTTTACAAGCTGTGATACTTGCCAAAGGGGGCAGTACAAGATATTAACTCTGCAGGGTGCCCAAACTTTTGCACACGCCATTTTTTTGTTTTCTGTTATTTTGAAAGTGTAAATGATGGAAATAAAATCTAACTTTTGTTGACATATTATAATAATGTCTAATCTGTAATTTGATGCCTTTTGGAGATTCTTCCATCTTTCCTTGGCTTCTTTATGCACATTAATACAACTTTTTAGCTGGGGTGCCCAAACGTTCGATCCCCACTGTATATTCTTTTTCCCTGTTCACAACGGAAAAGGAAAGCAATAGCAGCACTTTGCAATTTTCCAGCTCGCTGGAAAGTATACAGTATTTCTCCAAGTGAAATCTTTTTTTGTTCCATGTTCACACTTGAGCATTTATTAGCACACTATGGCCCATTCTAATTTACTGTACCTCCATACCATTTACCAACTAACATAATAAAGCTGGCATATGAGGCTAAGGGAAATTAAAGATCTGTGTGCATTAGCATCTTTTATTTGGGATTTTGACTCATTCACAATCTTTTCCACTAAAAGTCAGACTAAGATTGAAATACATTGTAGGCATTATTATCATCCTCCATATCCGTTTTTCCTCATAAGCGATATTATTAGGTTTTCATTCCATTACATCTTTTTCCTCCTTTTAATAATACAAAAGTTACAGTTTTATGCATTCCAAATACAGTATAAGTAATTCATTTTTTTCATTTGTTCAAAAATTCTCAGTAAATTTGATGACTTGACAAATGCCATTCAAAAGTACTTCAAAATTTTGTTTGCTTTTAAAATACAAATTTAAAAAGAATGCACTTTACTGAAGGTTTACTCTTAAAAATTAACAAAAAATTGTATAATGCATGTAACAGGGCATTTTTAAACCTGAATCCAGAGAATGCATTCAAGTAAAAAAAAAAAACCTTTAGACTTTAGCACTACTCTAAATGGCAATTTACAAGCATTAGACAACTGGAATATCAGCAAACAATAACACTGGCATAGACATGCAGCTTGTTTTCAACTTATTTTACTCATATTTTTACTTCTAATGGGAAGCTAAATTCAATTATTATTACAATAAATGGTGCACATGCAAAACATATTCATACTTACAGGTAATATGTACTGAACCATGTGACCCCCTGTCCCTGTTTTTAATAGCTCAGTTTATCTGTGTCTCAGACCTCAGATTAGCCCCAATTCCTGCACCTTCAGATCTTGCTGCCATCTAGCATGCAATGCAATCTATATTCTGATATTTATTCCATAATGAATTTTCAGTGTTAGCCCATGTAACAATGTAAATAGGCTGCTATCAATTAACATGCTCAGTGATGTAAAATGTTGTCACATGAAGACGGTGGTCAACATCACCGGAAAATCTCTGGTACATTTAATAGTAATAAAATGTAAATATTAGAATATATGAATACAGTTGTGCATAAAAAGTTTGCATACTCTGGCAGAAATCATGAAATTTTGGCAAGAATATTGAAAACATGACTGATCATGCAAAAAAAAAAAAAAGTATTTTATTTAAGGACAGCTATGCC